GGGTGGCTTATGCATGGGGAAATACGGTAATTGGTGAGCTTACTTCCAGCTCAGGTGAGGGTGCCTGATGAAGAGTTTCGAAGTTCGATTCCTCCTGAACAATTGTTGATTGGCTTGACTGGAATATTTCTGTTGACGCTGCTTCGATTCCAGTGAAAACGTGCAAAACTTTCTCACGTCATATGATGCGAAAGATAACATTCTTAAAATTATCTTTAAGCTGTCTAAACAATATCACCGGCTTATCTCTAAATGCCTAAAGTATACTCTCTTTTTTTAACCCTTTGATAAGGTATAAAGTGATTTGGTTAGCTCAAGTCGTGTGTGATGGTGTGTCTGCCTGTGTTCATGTACCTTCATGTGTTCGTATGTGTACAGACAGAAGCACTCACATGTTTCGTGGTTTACATAAGACTTGAACCAACTCTAGATTTAGGGTATATATACAGCATTTAGAGAAAAGCGGTGAGTTTTCTTGACTCGTTAGCGTGGAAATGATTGTGAGGATGATACTCTCTTTGCTCAGTTGATGTCCGTCATACGACGAGCGTAAGCTTAGCGCGTTTCCACCGGAATTGAAGTAGATCACCTTGGAAACCGCGTCAACAAGAATGTTATAATAAAGCCAAGAGGAATCCTCTGGTGGTGGTCTTCTGGTGGGATCAGCGTTAGGGTCTCTTCACCAAACACTTTCACTTGAAATGGAAGTAAGCTTGACAATTATGAGGCAAGAGATTGCTCGAAACCAAGCTTTTTTAGCATATCTTATGTACTAACAGCTGCGTCGAGTTCCAATCAAATGTTGAATTCGTGTAAGGCAGTCAGGCATCAGAAGACCTCAACTTCGTGGAAAACCCGATTTCATGGGGTCCTAGTTCCGAGGTTTGCGAGGTTCATTTCGCGAACCCTCGACAATAGAGCCACCATACCCTTAGGAACTGTTTCCACGTTAAAAGTGACTAAAAAAATGTGCTCTCCCGAAACGGGCAGGACAACAAGCATCTTTATGTCGTTTTGACAATATCCGCTTTCTCAGCCAACGTGAATCTCTCGTCGATGCAATTGGAGGCTAAGCGGTGCCACGGTTCCTCTCCGATTTGCAGACAAATCCACCGAATGGTGTAGTTACCGTGTCCGCTGTGTACCAATGCCTTTGGCAGCGGACGATGCATGTTAAGCTGTGACAGGTGAAATAGGGCCGGAGTGAGTTTGTAGACACGGCATGCCAGATGAAAGCGATTCCAGCCGACCGGCCAGAAAGATGAGTCTGGAATGTCAAGTCTGTAAACGGGGAAATTAGGCCATTGTCTAGCCCGGCTGGCTGAACAAAATGACCAAGTGCCACATGGTTGCCGTGGAACAGTTGCTACATGCTGCTTAATTGGAATGATGCACACTTGCGGAAGTCTGCATCTCAGCCCAAGGGTTGCTGAGATCTGGTTAGTCTCTTTCAACGTTCTCACATGCCATACACACATACACGTTAGGCTACTTAGTATGCATTTTTAGCCAAATGTGAAGAGGTGGTCAGGGTTGAAGGAGAGAGTTTCCAGCATTGGCGCTACCGGAAACCCAATTCCGATAAATACGTGCTAAATTATCGTCTCCAATCCTCTTTCTTCTTGAGAAAAGTACACTGACTATGACGCCAACTGACGAATAAAGAGAGATTTATTGCTTTGACGATGTATGTCATAGGCAAAAAATATTTTTTATG